TGCACTGCTGGGTGATATGTGTGTCCCAGCAAGCCCACACCTGTGCCCACAGCTGTGAGAATGAGCTATATGGTCGCCCCCAGGGATTGCCCAACCTGGACACAGCTGGGAACCCAGTTCCCTCTCTGGCAGATGCCTGATCGCAACATCTGGCAACATGTGCCCTTAAGAAAGGGAAACCAACCATAGAGCCCACTTTAAGACTTGCCCCTCAGTGTGCAGGCAGTTCTGCTCAAGGGCAAGGGGCTCCAAGGTGTGGATCCTCTGCTGAAGGCTTGCCACCAAGGGGGACCAATTTGTCCCAGTTAGCTGAGGGCTTTCTGGTTTCAGTCCTGTGTCTCTCCCCGACTTGGGCAAACGTGATGATGGGTCCTACTGTCACAGGGACAAGTCTCTTTCCACTACATAACTTCTCCATCTACCCCAGTCCTAGGTTCCTCCCTCCTGCCCCACCCCACCTCTGGAACTTTCTCCAAAGTTCCTTCTTACTTCCCTTCTTTTCCTGTGCAAAGCTTCTTCCTCCTGCCCCCTCAGCATCCCCAGGGACCTCTGTGTCTCTGTCTTTCTCTCCCTGCTCCTCTCTCTTTTCTTTCGGTGTCGGGGTCTCTAGCTCTCCTACTAGTCTTGGGGATCTCTCTGTCTACTCTTCCTGCTCCCAGGATTGTCTCTGTATTGCTCTGGGGTTTGTCTCTCCATTGTACATCTCCTCTGGGTCTCCACTCTGCATCTTCTGTGTCTCCCTGTCTCTGTCACTGAGTCATTGGCTTGCCACGGTCCCTGGGTGGTCCAGCCTTCACCCTCTCTCCCCCTGCACTGAACACCCCCCACCCGGGCTGGCTGGGGTGGGAGCCAGGTCTGGGGGCTGTGACCAGGCCCGGAAGGAGAACCTAAGCAGACATGATATTTATGTTGGGACTTCAAAGTAGAGCACAGGCCGTGGTGGGGGTAGAAGGGGCTGGCAAGCAAAAGTCAGACTGAGGTCAGCTCAGTCCCCTCCCTGGTGAGGGTCTCCTTGGTGACATACACCTCCCCCATGGGACACCAGGACCCAGAGTAGGGACAAAATGTGCTATTTTGGTGCAGAGTTCCAAGAAAGGCACTTCCGGTGCCCTCACCCTGCCCCTAGCCCTGTCCTTTCTTCCTGTCACCCTGCAGCTGGGTCTGGGCTTTCTGGACCCTACCTCCTCTTAGCATCAGCCTGGCTGGGGAAACGGGGTTCTGGGGGTGGCAGGACCAGAGGGCTCGATCTCAGCAGGAAAACATCCTTGGCGTTGGGACAGCCTGTGCGCTCTCACTCTGGCAGAGGCCTGGCCTGGCAGGGCCAGTGGCGGGCCTGTAACCCTGTCAGCCCCAAGCAATGGGGCCAGGCAGGCCCAGCCACGCCAGGCCTCTAGAGTCCACTTGAGGACTGCCTGCCTGAAGGCCTGAGAGGCTAAATGGGCTGTTAAGGTCACCCCACCCTTGATCTCTGTTTTTGCCCTAACCCCAGCTAAAGACACCCAGCTGTTGAGTGGGCGGGGTGGCAGGCAGGGCTGATTGTCTCATTCTGCAGTTTAGCTCTGGGTTCTAAGCCCCTCCCAGGAGCCTCGCCCTTCAGGCACTCCTTCAGGCTGGGCCACCCCCTTAGGAAGCCCCCATCCCAGACTAGGTACTTGCTCTTGACTCAGAACCCACAGATAAAAAGGCCACCCAGGCCCCCAGAACCCCAGTCACTGGGCCAGTGCTCCCCCCAGATCTTCAGGGCTCCTCCTGTGAATCAGGCTGGCTGGAATCTGATGAGCTCAGGCTGCCCCGCCCAGCCTGCCTGCCTCAGCCTCCTGCCTGGCCCGTGGGTTTGCCACACCCCACATAGGGGTCTTCTCATAGATTCATATCCCCCTCCTGGGGTCACAAGGACTGTGGTGGGGGAGTGAGGCAAGGGTAGGCCCGGACTGGAAGAAAGATTAGGAGAGGGGCTTGGACCTCCTATGCATGTTCCAAAGTAAAAAGCATGGGGGAGGGGGCACGTTTGCACTTCCAGAGCTCAGAGTATGAAGGGGAAGCTGTGTGCTGTCTCAAAGATGGTGGTATGTTGCTATATCTGTGGGTGTTGGTGGCAGTTCTGCATAGGTAGGTCTAAGTGTGTTGGGAAGGTACTGTGTAGATGGTCACCTGTCCTCATGTTGACTTGTCCTCACATGTCCTAGCAAGTTCAGTGTATGCCTGTTAACCCTTGGGATGCCTGGGTGCTATTATACCTGCCATGGCTGCCAAGATGTCACACACTGTGCGCTGGAGTGTGGGTCAGGGTGTAAGTATGCTAAACAGTGGGTGTGAACATGGGTCACAAGGCTATGGTGGGGTGTTAAACATAATGAGGGTGGGTCAGGGTGAGTCTCAATGACTGTTGTCCACCCCACCCCTCAGGCCATCCCATAGGCCCCTGACTTCTGGGCTGGCCTGGCTCTAGAATTTGGGACAGGCAGCCTCTCCCTTACCCAATTCCTGACTCCCTTTCACAGGATCCATGCTTCCTCCCTAGCACTGGCTGAACATGAGACCCCTGGGTGGCTTCAGCTAAGAAGGACACCTGGCATGGGTTGGAAATGAGGTGTCCAAACCCCCTGGTGGCAGTGATGGAGAAGGTGCCATTCCGGGAACACAGGATCATTTGGTGGAGTCTTCCTGAACCCACATTCCACATCCCTCTTCACTAAGTGCTAATTCCGGCTCAGGCATTGTTCTACCTCCCCCCCACCCCCAGCTTGCTGGAAACCAGGTCGACTTGGCTCTGGCATGCCAGTGGGGGAGACAGACAATACAACTAGGGTGACTTTACAAGTGTTAGGTGTGACATTTCCAAGCAAGGAAATGACTTGGTTGCTCTCAACAGATCTGAACGGCAGGTCAGGGTCCCAGTCCTGGTCTGCAGCAGTGGAGGCTGGATTAGACCCATCCCCTTCAGAAAAGCCTTGGTGGTGGCAGGGTGTGCAGAACCCCTAGAGCACAGTGGCTCTCAGCACCTGATCTCAGCCTGAGGACAGCGAGCTTTGACCGTTCCCTGAGAGTAGAGCTGAGGGTGCTGGGTGCTTGGTCCGTATGAGATACTTAATACATTTTTGAGACAGGGTCTCACTGTACCCCAGGCTGGTCTCAAACTCACGATCCTCCTGCCTCAGGCTACTGGATGCTGGGATTGTAGGCGTGTGCCACCACACCCCGCTTTTATAGATTATTGAGTGGACAAGTAAATGAGTCTCTGTTCTGAAAGATTTGTAGAACCTGGTGTTTGAGTCCTTTGCCCTGTAACAAGCCACTCTCCCAGAGCAAGCCTCAGGCTCCTCATCTGTAAAATGGGGATGACTCAGTCTTAGGCTGGCCTATTATTGCCCATCCTGCCTGGAGCCCCAGACCATGTATCACAGCCCTCGGTCTTGCTGATTTGGCCTGAACCCCTGAGCAAGCAGGTAAACCAAAAGCGATAGACCTGGCAGTCTCTCATGAGCCATCGCTAGGGGCACACTGAATTGTGGAGTCAGGAATTAGTATTGAACACGGGAAGAGAGGGACGGAATTCCAGAAGTCCCAGAGGCAGGGGCCCAGAGGCCTCATTCCCGTGAGACCAGCTCCACATCCGGCCCCTGGGGTTCTCGTGCACCCCCTGCAGACATTCCAGGTCCTTCCTCTGGGACTGAGCTCCACACATCCTGTGTTTGATTCCCAGAGCAGCCCTCCCTGACCCTCCCGTGTCGCTCACTCCTAGTTATAAAGCACCAATGGGTGGACACCATTTATTGAGCACTTATGGGGTGCTCACACTGTACAAGGCATTGGGGGCGGGGCTTGGGGAGGGAGGGAGGGCATACAACAGAATAAAGGGAGACTTCTGACCAGTCAGAAGGTGCTGGAGAGGGCAGTGGTAGAGGGAAGTACTTTGGTGGCCCCTCAATGGCTGTATCTGGGTCGTCTGAAAGCCAGTGTTCATGACTTTTACTTTCCAGTTATCATGACTGACATGTGGTCCATGTCCCTTTGTGCTCAGCTCTCAAGGGGCATGCCTCTGAGACCAGCTGGGGTTCTCCTCCATCCAGGGACAACTCTTTCCTGAGGACCTTCAACTGCAAGGGACCTGAGGGCCAGTAGCGTCAGCCCCTGCGCTGTCCCCAGCCTGTTTGATGGCTATAGGGGAGTGAAGCCAGGGACCATCCATGCTCTGTGGCCCTTGAGCCCTCTTTGCCCCCCAAGGGGTCATTCTCTGCAGCTTCCTGGGTTGTGCACGCCCCCTCGTGGTTAGGGGTGAGCATTTCTCTTTGCTTGGATTTGCAGTCTGCCCTGGTCTTGAGGGGCTGGTTTGCTGTGTGACTGTTGACAGTCACTTTCCTGCAACTCAGTGAGGCCAACAGGCCATTCCCTGTCTCTCCATTAAGCTTCTGTGAGAGCCAAAAGGGGGTACAGAAAATGGTTTCTGAGTCCCCGCTCTCCATTCTGGAAGCTCATCTACCTGCTGGTCTGTATTGTCTCCCCCTGTCTAATTCTAGAGTGCCTGGGAGGACTTCTAATTTTGAGAAAAGACTGGAACATATGGTGCCGTCTCACTTGGGGCCAGAAAAAAGCTGCAGATGAGAGCCAGGAGGCAGGGGACAGGCTTCTGGGAGGGTGAAGGTAGGGTTGTAAGCATCCATCATTCCCTCCTTTTTCCTAGTCTGAGCTCTGCTTTGTAGCCATATCATCTGTTTGGGCCCTGGAACATTCGGGGAGATAAGCAGGGAAGCAGTAGTGCCCCCACTTTGCAGATGAGGACACCGAGGCTAGGAGAAGCTAGTCTTCTGGGGACCTTTGCTGCCACTCTGCTGCCACCAGGAATGGTGGCAGCCTTTCAGGACCTTGAACCAAGGCCCCAGTAGCTCTGCCTGTTCCCACAGGGGTGGGAGGGGGGAGATGCAAAAGGAGTTGGGATGTCCTCCATGCCAGAAGTTGAAGATCAGATGGATTCATCCTGTTGGGCATACTCACCCCTGCAGGCTGGGGAAGAAGAGGCACAGAATCTGGGGATTCCCAAGCTCCCCTCAACTTTATCCCATCCCTTAATATGGCCAGACCTCAGCTTCCCAGCATGTGGGCTCATGGAGGTAGGAGGTGGGAGACACAGCAGAAGGCTAGGGTGTGAATGGCCAAGGACACTGTAGCCTTGGTGGGTGGGGTCGAAGTCTCTGAAAACCTTCCCTGCAAGTTCAAAGGTTCCTGCCCCAGCCCTTCTAGCCTCTTCCAGCTACTCCTCTGTGGCCTGGCTGCCCTTGGCCTCTGATTCCCCTGGCTGCAGATGGCCTCCCCTGGCCAAACCCTCATCTTCCTGAGTGGTTGTCTCAGATTCTCCCCCACTGTCCCTGGAGCTGGCTTTGACCTCCACATCCCCATCTCCACAGCCCCCTTTCTCCTCCTCATGGCTCCCTGTCTCTTGCTGCCCACTGCCTGCTTCCTCTGTTGTGGACCTTTGGGTCTTAGGCCACTCTGCTCGGCGGTAGACAAGGTAGCCAGCTGTGGGAAGCCTATGGGCCAGGGCTCCGGGGGGCAGGCGGTGGTAGCCCTGTTCCTTGTACAGGAAGAGGTTGAAAGCGTCAGGCTGGGTCACTCGGAACTTGGTAGCACAGAGCTGGCTCAGGGTGGCGACCGAAGCCCCTGGGGGCACAGCTAGCGTCTTGGAGGTACAACCACTGCTGGGGTCCTGGTAGGCTACTCGGAGGAGGTGCTGTACAGGAGAAGCAAAATCAAGTACTCAGGTCTGCCTGGTGTGCATCTGGCTCCAAAGCAGAGGGATGGGTAGAGGCTGTGCAGGGACAGGTGGAGTAACATGCATCATGACAGAAGCGACAGCAGGAGCTCTTGAGCTCCGAGGGGACTCTGGGCAGGAGATGTGCAGTTGGGCTACTGGGTCATGGCTGCAAGTGCAAGTCCAGACCAGCAGGGACCTCAAGAGCCTGAAAGGATGCTACAGAACATAAAACCAAAAAACAAAGAGTAACTTTCCCAAGCTCCAAGAATTGGTAGAGCCTGATGAACCTGGGACATGGCTCCTGAGTCTGGACTCAGAAGCAAAACTGGGAAGGGTGAAAGGGAGGGTGATGGTCAGTACTGAGCACACCTGGGTCAGAATGCAGATGGGAGCATGGGCTGAAGTATGAGGACAGGGAAGGCAAAGCCCAGACTGGGCCAGGGGGCCAGGGTTTGGGGCCTGAGTCTGCTATTGGAATCCCTTTCTCTCTCCATGTCAGTCTTGGTTTCCTCATCAGTGAAGTGGGGATAACAAGGTGTTACTTCAGTTTAATGAGGTAGTGCATGGCTGTAATCCCAGCTGCCTCAGGAGGCAGAGATTGGGAGAATCAAGGTTCAAGGCCAATCTGGGCAAAAAGTTAGTGAGACACAACTTTCATCCCAGCTCGTAGTACAAGGCATGGGTAGGAGAATCAGGGTTGAAGATTGGCCTCAGGCAAAATTGCAGGACACTTTGCAAAAAATAACTAAAGCAAAAAAAAAAAAAAAAAAAAAAAAAAAAAGGGTTGGGGCATGGCTCAAGTGGTAGAGCCTGCCTAGCAAGCATGAGGCCCTGAGTTCAAATCCCAGTACTACCAAAAAAACAAAAACAAAACAAAACGAAACAACCCGAGGTGCTACTTCAGAGTATCTGGGAAGATCCAGGAGGCTGTCCTAGACCCTGACATGTGGAGCATGTTTCTTGGAAGGGCTGGCTTGTATGTTCAGATGGGTCACACTTCCAATGCGGGGTGACACAGGACTAGAGGGGAGCATGCTGGATGAGGTCAGAGCCTGCTGGGCCTGGCTGGTTTGGGGAGAATGGTGTGGAGGGCCTGTTACCTGGAGGCTGTGGGTAGCAGGCAGGCGGCGCCGCTCCCAGAGGCTCAGGGAGCGCTGCAGTTCCTGCGAGGGACTCAGGGGGAGGTCCTGGGCCTGGCCCAGGCTACTTAGGAGGGCCAGGCTCGCCGAGAGGCTGGTCAGGTAGTAGCCACCTGGGACATGAGGAGGCAGAATGCAGCTCAGGCTGGGAGTGAGAAGACCAACTTCCCCCACTTCCCTGCTCACTCAGGGCCCACTAGCAGCTAAACTCCCCAGTCCTACCCAGGCAGTCAGGGGTATGGGGTCCCTCACCCTCTCCAGTGAGCAGAGCAGGCTCCAACAGCTCAGACATGTACTCAGCTTCCAGAAGGAGGTCAGGAAGGTCACACTGGGCCAAGACAAGGCTTAGCAGTGGCAGGAACTCATCAGCCCCTGCCCCCTCCCCTGTGGGGACAGGGGGAGGAGGAAGCTTCAGGCTCCTGGGGGCCCAAGGGTTAGAGTCCAATCCTTGTCCTAGGTAGTGACCCCTCCTCTCTGCCCACCAATCTCAGGAAGGGCTACAGGGAGGGTACTCTACTCTCTGGGCCTCAGTTTCCCACCATCTAAGATTGGAGGGTTGGATCATTCTGCCCTGTGGTCTATTCCAGGGTCCTGGGGTCTCTCTCTGGGGTACCTGCTTTGGACTCAGAGGGAGAGCTCAGTTAGGTACTGTGCGCCATGGGCACTGGTCCTAACCTCCTGCCCCTCCCCTCCCTCCAGAAGGTGTACTGTGGGACCAGCAGCAGAGCCCTGCAATCTCCCCTGAACTATGCTGGGGCAACAGCAGGGGGAGGTGGTGGGGAGCCATACCTGACTGGGTCCTCAAAGCCGTGTAGAGCAACTTGCAGGCCTGCAGGAGCCGCTTGACCTGGGCACTGGGTGAGTAGGTGTGGAGAAGTTGCAGTAGCTTCTGGCGTACTTGCTCTGTCTCCACCGGGGAGGGCAGGCTCAGGTGAATCCCGAAGGCTCCAGGGCCTTGGGTCCGGACCAGGCGAAGGCCCTCAGCCAGGCGGCCAAGGGAGCCATCTGTGGAAAGGCGGCGGCGCAGGCGGGCGGCCAAGACAGGCCGAAGAGGCTTGAGTACAGAGCGATGCAGCGACTTCTCCAACACGTGTTCTGCAGGAGCAGAGACAGTCAGGGGTAGGTCAGGGAGAAGGGACAAAAAAGCAGGAGACACTGGGCAAGACAGGAGTGGGAAAGAGACACACATGATGGAATACACTCGACAGTGATGAGGCAAAGGGGCTCAGAAAGCAGAACAGTATCAGAAAGGCAGGGGCAGCATGGAGAGACAGATGGGAAGGACTGGAGTTATGGAGCCAGGGACCAAACCCGGCCTTACCTAGCCTCTCAGGCGGCAGCAGCTTTTCCGGGCCCAGCTCCGCGCTCAGCATGGCCCGGGCCCGGCTTAGCACCTGGCGGATGCTCTGCAGCTCCTGGGGCTCGGCACTGGCCCGAACCTGGGTCAGTAGGTCCTGCACCAGCTGACCGACTGCTATGTGTCTGTTCTGCATCAGCTCTGCTGCGGCCCGGCCCACCTGCCGCTCAGGTGCCAGCAGGGAGCAGAAGGCAGCGCTCATAGACCGAAGCAGAGGCCTCCGATGGTGTCTCCGGCCCAGGTGGGGGGAGGTTGCAGGGCTCCGCTGCTGGGACCTGGGTGGCCCCTCCTCCTCAGAGCTGCTGGGGGAGCCGCAGTCCACCTCCTGGAGGGAGGGCAGAGGTGGGAGGCTAGGGCCTGCTCCCCCTGGCACACGGTACCCTACAGAGCTCTCCCTCCGCAGCAGCTGGTGAGGAGGCAGCCTTTCTGTGTGGCTAGGGGCTGCCCCTGGCAGCACAGGGACTGGGGGAGGTGGCACGGCAGGTGGAGATAAGGGGCTGGAGGTCTCTGTGGACACACGCACTTTGAAGCTCCTCTTGAATTTCTCACGCCTGGTGGGGCCCAGGTCCCCTGGGAACAGGGGGTTGAAAAAGCAGAGGGCGGCACCGGTGCCCTGGTCCAGCTCCTGAGGGGAGCGAGCCTTCAGCCGGGGCAACAGCGGGGCTTCAGATGGGCTCTGCTGAGTCTTGGTGTTGAGAGAGGAGCTCCAGAACTCTAGGGAGCAGAAACAAATTAGGGCCTCAGGACAGGTTCGGGAGGGTGCCCACCCAGAGAAGGCACAGGTAGGTTGCGTGCTCAGGCACCTTCCCTTCCCCTTTTGGCCTCAGTTTGTCCATCTGTGCGGAGTGGCAGGGAAGCCCTTACCAATGCCCAGATGGGAGATAGCCTCTAGCTCCTTGTGGGTGGCTGCTTGGTGGATGGCTCTGGGGAGCTGGAGTGGGAGGAGAAGGATGTCCCTGAGGCCAGAGAGGGAAGCAGACAGTCAGGAGTGAGGGGTGCTCCAGTGCAGGGAGGAGGGAGAATGGGCTGTTCCAGGGAGCAAGGCCTGTGGTCACCAGGTGCTCTGCGGGGCGGACTCACCGGGTGTGGCAATAGGAGCAGATGAGCTGGACAAGGTCCGGGAACATGAGCTCTGAGCCCTCCAAGGAGATGCCTGAGAAATACGGAAAGTGAGGTTGTTCTCTGGAAACCGCCCCCCCCCACCATCCCCACCACTGCGATCCATTTCCAGCCCCTTTCCAACAGGCCAGCTCCTCTCACCAGCTAGACTCTCCTGGATATAGTGGCTGGAGACAAAGGAGGGGCCACTGGCCTCTGGCAGCCGCACACACAGGGCCTGGCACTGGCGGGTGTTAGATTTCCGCACCAGAAATGTCTACAAGTGAATGAGGTTAGGAAGCTCTGGACCCCTGTGCCAGTTCCTCTCCCTCCCACCCTCAGCTGGCCAGTTCCCCAGGGTGGCCACACTCACCCCTGGGGGCTCCGTCCTCAGTACATGCAGTGCAGCGGCAGCATTGGCCCGCAGCTGCAGCCAAACTGGCCGGGTGAGCAGAAGGCGCTCCCGCAGGCTCACGGCTCGTGCTGGTCGCTGGGGCCCACCTGCCTGTTCCCCACTGGCATTGGGCGTGTCGTATAGCGGGTCCTGGGCTGGCCTGGAGGGTGGGCACCCAGACGTGAGCAGGAGACCCGGGGCGGGGACCCTTCCTCACTTCTAGGCTTCCTACCTCCCCTGCCCTGGGATAAACCTTCCCTCTGTGTTTCTCCCACCCCACCTGGCTGCCCTTCCAACTCCACTAACTTTTCTCTCTGCAGTTCCCCAGGAGGAAAGTTTGGGCTGGGGACCCCCAGAGGTTGCACTCCTGGCTCCAGAGCGTCTTCCATGGCTAGGAGCTTGTTCAGCTTCTCCTGGGACTCAGGAAGAGAATCCAGCCCCCAAGGCACAGGCGCGCACATTCCCAGCGGTGAGTAACACTTCCTGAGGGCGGTTCGCCCGTCACACCCCGCCAGTTAACTCTTGCGTGCCCACCCCGTCTGACCTGTGTCTGCTTTCTCTCTGTTCTGGGCCCAGTTACGGGGGGAAGCAGGGATCCCCTCCATGTTAGCACCACTCTGGGGGTCCCACCTGTAGGGCACCACCTTCACACAGAGCTTCCTGCAGCCCTGCCAACCTCCTCATACTATGCAGCTGGGTAGGGAGGGGTTAAGCAGGACGACTAAGTCCCCACAGGCCCAAGCCTCACCCTTGAATCACCTTAAGAAGTCTGTGGTCAGTTGCTCATGTGTTCCCGCCTTGTTGGTGGTGGTGGGGGGGGTCAGTCTTGTGGGAGAGCACCCCCTACTGGTCGCAGATGACTCACTCCTTAGCCTAACCTGTTTTGAGATTTCAGGTTGCCATGGAGAAAGGATGCTGTGTCTCCATGGAAACCAATCCCTTTGCTTAACTGAGGCTCTGGGGGTGGTTCTGACACTCAGCGCTAACCAGGGGGAGTGTGGCTGTGAGGTCGTCAGCACATGGTGCTGCTGCCGGCTGCCTCCCACACACAGGCCCTGCCAGCCTGTCTTGCCAATCTGCCAAGTGACTGGGGCAGGTGCAGACATGACCTGGTCCCCAAGCATGTGCACAGTCTCCTATCCACCTGAGGCACGTGCTTCATGTGTTCCGCCTGAGCCACATGTGGTTTCCGGTTCTGGGCCCAGTTCCCCTTTCCCAGCCTATACCCCCAACTACAGGGACTTCAGAAGAGACTGACTATCTCAGGGGATCCTTATGAAAGTACCAATTCCCTTGAAAGGTAAATCAGATACACATGGGTTTCACCAAAGTCCCAGAAAAGGTTTTAATTCCAATCTTCAAAATCCAGGAGGCAGACAACAGGAATGGCCCTGAGAAAACCTGGAGAGCTGTGCTGTCACCTCCAGCTCCAGCCAGAGTGGACAGGCCCCGAACATGTAATTTCTGGCTCAGTTTCCCTGTGATGGAGTCCTGATCCCTGGCTCTGTAGCTGGGACACCAGGGTCCACAATCAGCAAGAGGAATGTTGCTTTGGCTGAAGACAAGGCCCATCTTCGGTGTGGGAACACTGAGGAGGCTCATCTTTGGGAGGGGGAGGTAGTGGGCCGGTCAGGGATGGAGACAACAGTCTTGCTTGGTCAGGTCAGCTTCAGGGCCACAGCTGTGCAGGCCCTAAGAAGGGCAGAGGAGGGGTACAGACCAGCAATGGCTGGAGAGGGGACCAACAGCAACACTGGAGAGCTGGCTAGGCAATCTCTACCTTTCTGCAGGAAAATGTGAATCCTTGGGTGTGGTGCAAGCTGCTCCAAGGACCCCTGGTTGTGAATAGCAGGGTCACGGTCCTGGGGGTATGTGGGAAGGAGAAAAATCACAGAGGAAGCTGAACCAAGATGGAGATAGCCACTTCCTCAGAGAGGTTGAGGGAAGTGACACCCTTAGCAGCACTCATCCAGGGAGGGGATCCTTCCTGTCTGCCTTGACCCACCCAGCTAGGGACTCTACCCCTTATTTCATTTATTTATTTTTTGTGGCACTGGCATTTGAACTCAGAGCCTTGCACTTGCTAGGCAGGCACTTTACCACTTGAGTCACACCTCCAGCCCCCACACTTAGTTTTATTTTTTTATTTTTTGGTGCTGAAGATGGAACACAGGGCCTTGTGAATGCTGGGCAAATACTTTACCACTCGGCTATATTCCAGCCCTCCATCCCAGTTTACACCACCTTGCTCCATCAACCCAGAGCTTCTCTACCATGGCTCCTGCTCCCCGAACTCCCTCAAAACCCTCAGACCAAGATGGGGACCCTCAGACCAAGATGGGGGTCACTGATTCTGACAGAGCCACTGTTCTCTCTGAGCTCCTTTCTAGAAGCCAGGTTGGGGGATGGTGTTGGCAAGGAAAGAGGAAACAGGACACTTCTGTGGCTCTTACCATCTGCTTTTCTCTTCTGAGGGGACACTGCTGCCCTTGCCTGGAAGATGAGAAAAGGCCCACCTTTAGCTTGGTAATCCTCCTTCCTTTGGCCCCTGAGGAATGGGGGCTGCTGAGACAAGCTGCACTAAGACAGAAGTATGAGACCCTTTCTGGACAAAGCTCTGAGGTGTCTCTTGTCAGAGGTCTGGCCAACCCAGTGCCCTTCCTTCTTTCCCTCCCTTCAATCTACCCTGGAACAAAGGCTGATAGTGACTATGTCCCTTCCTCCAGGGCAGTCTCAAGCAGGACAAAGAGTTGCCCCAAGGCAGGGGCTCCTGGGCTAGAGTAAGGGGTGCTGAAGGGAGGGCAGAGAACACCCCAGGCCCTCAGATAACAGAGCTAGCGTCCAGGTCGTGGACCTGCACGGCTGGCCAACCCTGGGGTACAGTGGGAATTGGGCAGCAGTGGACCCACCTTTTTGATAGCAGTCCAGTCCTCCAGGATGTCAATCTCCTGCAGCATGTATACGATGTAAGGGCCTGCAACAGGGGTTAAGGAAGCAGGACAGCCACCAGAGGGGCAGGCAATGGAAGCTCAGCCTGGAAGGCCATGGGTAGCTGTGCCACCTCCCAATGCTTAAGGAGAGGTGGTATGTAGACAGTGTGGAGGAGTACCAAAGCCTGGTCCAAGCAAGGGCTCTACCTCCTACCTAGGGGGCCCTGGGTCCAAGCCCACGCCACTTTTCAACAGGTCAGCTACCCAAGGCCCCTCCCACCCTCAGAGACCCTGCTCCTCTGGTCCCATGTTACTAAGGGCCTTTTGGGCCCCTTCCCCCATCTAAAGGCAGACTCTAGCTTTCTCCATCCTGAAACTACTCCACCTATGTTCTGTACCTGACGTCTCCAGACCTTACCCCACCATGGCTCAGATCACTGCCTTCCAGGTCCCTCCCTCCTGCCTCATTACCAGGTGGTCCTAAGGCTGACACATGGGCTGTCCAAGGGAAGAGGACTCAGCTCAACACGGGTTGAGTGTAGTTGAGCTAAAGATGCAGCAGGCCCTGGACTGAGGGGCTCCTGACTAAGGAGATGGAGGTAGCAAGTTCTTCTGGGATGCAGGCAGCCCACGGCAGGGTACAGGTGTGCATATGGGTACAGAGGAGAGCCACATGCATGGGGGGAGACCAGAAGAGGCTCCATAGAGGTACCATTTGAGATGACACTGAGCAGGCAGGAGCAGGCAGGAGCTTCAAGAGGGGGAATGAGCAAGGTCTGGGTGGGAAACATCTGGGACCGCGTGGGGTCCACATTAGGACATGAAGGAAAAGCCAATGGGGCCTCAAAGGCTGATCCTCACTCAGGAAGCTAAGGGAAGCCTGTGACTAAGTTATTTTTCTGGGGTTCACAAAGCTCAGGACAGGGATCCAGAACCCCACGAGAACTGCCAGCTGGACTGGCCTGGAAAGGTTATGTGACACCAAAGAACCATGAGTGTTGTCTAGCCCAATTTCCCCTTATTTCCCTTCCCTCCCCTGAGTCTGGAACCTGCCCTGATGTCCTGCCCAGTTTCAGGCCACATGGGGTAGAAGGATACCAGACACAAGAGGTGCCTTCTTTCTCTTGCTGGGTGGCAGTGAGTCCCAGGTCTTTGCGCTGCCTCTGGCGTGCAGTTTGTCATCCCACCACTCTGTGCCCCGCAAACCCAAAGTCAGGATCAGGTGTTGACCTACAGGCTACTCCTACCCTTATAGTCTCTGCCCACTGTGGGCCAGCACAGCTTCCCTCCCCGGACACTGGCCTTGGAGATGAATTTCTTAGGGCTGATACAGCCTTACTGAACAATGGTGTAAACCCATGGAAGAGGACACCACCCTTCTTTCTCAGTTGAGCCTCAGTTTCTTCATTTGTTTAGTAAATAGTGGGAGAAAGACAATTCCTGTCTTTGCAAGACCCCATATGAACACAGGTGCTATAGATACCGTGTGCATGCATGTGTTAGATGGGATGGACACTCCCATTCTGGAAAGGATGGCAGAGTGCCCACTATATTCTAGTTCCTGCTATGTATGGGACACTGGGCTAGGCCCTTTCCTGATTTCTCATTCTGTCCTCACAGGGATCCCAAAAAGCAGACCCTCTGACTCCCCTCATGCAGTTGGAGAAGCCAAGGTCCAGTGAGGGGTGGGTGTTGGCCCTCACCAGAGCTGATATCCAGGCTCTGGCGGTCCTCCTCCAGCCTCTGGATCCGCTCCTGCAGCTCCCCCTGCAGTGTGTCATACAGCAGGAGCTTCTCGCTCTGGAAGGGGTGTAGTGTTTAGGTAGGTGGCCTCCAGGCCGTTGGCCTTACTCACCCTTCCAGGTGCCTATCCAGGTGCTCACCTCCAGGTGCTGTTTGGCTCCCTGCAGCTCACACTCATACTTATTCCTGATCACGTCCAAACAGAAGCCCTTGTAGATCCCTGACAGCAAGAGAGAAGGAGCCCTGCTTGGCTGGGGCTCTGGTGCCCAAAAAAGGAGGGCCACAAGTATAGGGTGAGGCAGGGCAGGGTTGAGAGTAGAAGAGGACAGATGGCTATGGGTTCTGGGAGGCAAACAGGACAGCCACAAACCTGCAACCTGAATGCGGATCTTGAGGCTCTGCTGTAGCCCCCCAAGAGGCTCCGTGTATTCAGGAGCTCTCTCAGCCCCCACTTCCTCTAGCCGCAAGCGCAACTGGCTCAGCCGTTCCCTGAACAACCTGGGAGGTAAAAAGGCAGCCGTGCACCACTGGCTCCTCCACGTGCTCATCTGTTGTTCTTGGATAAATGTGTGCCAAGCACCTGTTCCTTGCAGGCCCCACTTGGCACACATCACTTGGTGTCATACCCAGCCCACTGTCTCCTCACCCCAGGTGCCCAAAGACCAGTCCCAGCACCCCTTGTGCTCACTTCTCCTTCAGCTCCGAGAATTGCTTCTCCAGGTCTAGCATCTCACTGACGCACTCGCTTCGGCGCCGCTCGTAGTCCTCATCGTCCATCTCTGGGACAAGAGGCCAGTCAGGGCCGGCTCTGGAGGGGTGGGCAGCTGCTCCTGTGTGTGCGCGCGTGTGTGCCGCATGTGCAGGGGCTCACCTGAGCTCTCCTCCTCTGACTCGGTCTGGCTGCCGCTCCGCTCCTCCTCACTTTCATCCTCTTCCCCATTCATCTCAGCAGCTGAATCGCCCTCTGCTTCCATCTCTTCTGGATCTTTGCCTGGAGGCTGGATGGGCATCTGGGCTCTAGGAGACAGAGTATAGCCATCACTCACCACTTCCCATGGCTCAGGATGGGAGAGTGGTCAAGCAGGGAGTCAAGCCAAACCCAGCCTTCTGTGGGGATGAGTGGGTGTGACTAGTCCCACCACACCAAGCACAAACTGGGTGGCATTTCCCTCTCTCATAGAAGGGCTGGGAGCTGTGGAAATGCTCGTGTCCTTGGATGTTGCTGGTGATCCTATTTCTGGGTACACTGGCCACGGCTACGATGCACAAATGGGAAAGGCTGAGGTGAGCTCCCCACTGCCAATGGGACTGGGCCCAAACTTCTGACTGCGTCTTCCAAGACCCTTTACAGACTGGACCTGCGTTACTAGTCCAGCTTCTTCAGCCCATGCTATGGTCAGTTCTCACACTACCACCTCCCTCCCCGTCCATACTGTTCTGCTAGAATGCCCCTGGCTTCTCTTCCCAGTAACACTCTAAGCTTTTACTGGGCTACAGGTCAAATCCGATTTCCTTTTGCTTTCTCTGGGACTTCAGGTCCTTAGTGTTCTCCTGTCCCTGTGCGACTTCAGCTTCTCCCTTTCAGCAGATACTATGGTATGACTGTGTCCCCAAGTTCATGAGTTGAAAACTTAATCCCCGATGTAACGGTGTTGAAAATTGGGACCTCTGAGAGGTGATTAGGTCTATCCTCATGAGTGGACTAATGCTACTATACAGCAGTGGGCTGACGAGCATGGAAGTGCCTCCTTCCCTTCTGCCATGTGATGATGCAGCAAGAAGGCTCTCGCTATATGTGGGCTTAACCTTGGACTCTCCAGCCTCCAAAACTGCCCTCTACCGCATACTGGGGATTGAACCTGGCTAAATCTCTGTTCTTTATGAATGATCCAGTCTCAGATTGTTTCTGTGTGCGCGTGTGTGTGTGAGTGCTGTGAACTACATCCCTGGTACTTAGTATTGGTACAGTAGCACAAAAGAGACTAAGACAGCATGCTCCTTCCCATAAAACTTTACATGTGCTCAGGTATTTTCTATCATTAAGTCAAAGTAGAGATAGCTAGGGGTGGTGGTGCATGCCTGTAATCTCAGCCCTCCCCAGGCTGATCCAGAAGTATTTCAAGTTCTTGGCCAGCCTGGGCTAAATAGTAAGACCATCTTTTTTTTTTTGGTACTGGGGGTTTGAACTCAGGGCCTACCCCTTGAGCCCTGTACCAGCCCTTTTTTTGTGTTGGGTATTTTCAAGATTGCCCGGGCTGGCTTCCAACCATGATCCTCCTGATCTCTGCCTCCTGAGGATTATAGGCATGACTCACCAGTGCCCAGCTAGTGAGACCATCTTTTTAAAAATGGCACAGGGACTGGGAGCTGGGAGCATAGTTCACTTGTGCAGCACTTGCCTAGCAGCATGCACAGGGATCTGGGCTGGATTCCTAACATGGGGGGGGGGGAACACTAAACTTTACTCATTCCACTGAACCACTCCGTTTTCCACTTCACTGCTATAGTTCTGCAGGTCTTGTGCACACTTGCTGTTCCTACTTGCACCTCCCACGCCTTCCATGTTTGGGTGCCCATCTCTCTCACTGAAACTGATCCTGTAGTTACTTCCTTGCAGCCAATGCCAATAGCTTTCAGTGTTTATGGAAATGACCTTTCAGAAACATTAAACACTGCTAAGCAATTCCTCTAATACTTATTGAAACATTATGGCATATATATGTGTATATATATATATATACATATACATATATATATATACACACACACACACTTTATTTTTTGGTGACACTGGGACTTGAACTCATGATCTCAGGCACTCCCCACCAGCCCCATTGTAAAGTTCTTCCAACTTCTCTGGCTGCTACTTTGTTTGAATGGTGTAGATACCACCTCCTCCAGGAAGTATTCTTTGGTTACAACTCAATTTCAATGAGTGTGGAAGCCTCACCAAGGCAGGGGCTGCACATACTGGCTCACTTGATAACTGGGTTTGCAAATACAAATTAATCCCTGCAGTGGAGGGATTAGCTTTTACTTCTTGGTAACCCCAGGTGCCTGCTGATACTGATTCAAGTACTTCTAATGCCTGGCCTACGGAAGAGTTTAGTCTTGATTTCACCAACGATCTGAACCTGACCTGAAAACATCGGTTCTCCTTACTACCCTCATTTCTCCCATTCTCAAGCCTCAGTTCCCGTCACTGGCAATTCCTCTTCACTGTATGTATCTTGTAAGATACTTCTTCCCGAAGAATATTTCTCCTACAGTTGATTCGTTTAATTAAGTCGCTACCTTCCCCTCCTTAACCCGGTGCAAACAGAGGAAAATCATAGCTAATGACTGTAAAGCCCATGGGGTAAAGGATGGAAAAGCACACTGTAAAGCGCTACGCACGTGCAATTTCTCTTTCCAGGCGTAAACTCCTCTAAGGGCAGGCCCTCCCCACAACTGCAGGAGCCACCTCAGCTTCTCTGCCGCGCTCCGGGAGCTTCCCGCCCCGCTTCACCCTCGGATGCACCGGCGCAAGCCAGAGAATAGCGGGCTGTAACGCGGCCGGTCTCGCACCCGCGCCGGTAAGGCCGGCTAAGTCTCTGCTTTGGCTACAGAGGAGATTGTGCTGGCTCCGACCAACTGGCCGGAGAGGCCAAACCAGGCTCCGGGAGTGGTGATACGCACCGCGGGGAGTGGGGCCTCCGGCCTCAAGTCTGAGACGACCTGAAAAGTGCCCGAGCCTTTCGGTACTGGCCGCCGTCACCCAGCTCCCGGAAGCGCTACGCAGGGTCCTCTTTTCCGGCAGGCGGAGCCTGTCGGCGCTTCCATGTACGTCATCAGGAGGCGTCAGTCTGCAGAACTCATAATTGGACAGCTGGGGCTGGGGCATGCTGGGATACCGCGGGCAGGTCACCATAGCAACCAGTGGGGAGGCGGAAAAAGCCTAATGGTTTTTTTGCTTTGCTGTTGGCGCCCCACCACCCACCGCCACCTCCCTCTCCTTCGCGTTGCCAGCAGAAAACCCGGTGCCCCCGCCCCTTAGCTTAGGAGAGTAACAGAGCCAGCTGTGGGAGTGAACACTCATTTATTTACACATTGTCATCCGAAGGCAAATATCCAGCCCAGTGAAGGCACAGATCTCAGACTGTCATCCACAAAGCCTGCAGATCCTTCCCTCCAGAGTCCCAGAGGGCGGAGGCCTGGGAGAACCAGGCTTCTGCCCTAGAGCTAACTAAATTCTATGCTTTCATCTGATTTCTTTCCAAAAGGCCCATTTTATTAAGTACTCAGATTTCTCAACTCTGTCCCATTCATACATTTTGCTCTCCTACTTACCCACACACCCGCCCAAGATTGTTAATAATAATAACAATAATAATACTGTAATAATATTAATACTTCACATTTGTACGAAGCTTACAGAATGTTTTCACATAGAGCATCTCATCTGAGCCTCCCAACAGTTCTGTGAGGTAGGTTTTCTCACCTCCCTTTTGATAGACGGTGTAACCGAGGCTCAGAGAGGTAACAGGATTTGCTCAAGGCCACACAGCTAGTTAGTGGTAAAGCTAGGACTCGATCCCAGCACCCCATATTCAAGTCCAGTGTTCCAACACCACAGCTACCTCTGTAACGTGGAGTGACATTTCTGACTCCAGTCAGGCCTGAGGGGTGGCCTCAGGAGCTAGAGGCTGAGACTTCTCAGACTAGGGGAGGAAAAGATTCAGCAGCGACGGGGAGAGCTGGGGTACTTGGCCTTCAACTCCTGTTTGAACTGGCGGTAAAGGATCTTATTGTGCTGATTTTCAGCCTCCTTCTGGGGATGGAACTTCAAGGCTTCTTTGAAGCCCTTATGAACCAGGAAACCTTCGTTCAGCACCTCAAAATCAAACCCTGCCACGTGCAGCTCACAGGCCTGTAGAGGGAAAGATAGGTCAGCAAAGTTTGATGACAACCCCACAGCCCAGACGGGCGTCCCTAAAGCCATACTCTAGCTTCCTCATGGAACCGCCACACCACCCAATCACTTTTCGAACTATTATCCCTCCTACTTTATTTCTTCCTTCCCATACCCAGACTCCACCACCCCTTATGCCCAGTCCCCCTGCCCTCTCCCTTTTAGGCACCTGGCTGATTCGATTGAAGCCGTACTGCCGAAAACGTTCGTCAAAGGTGGGCACCTTGCCTCCAGCCACGTAGAATGGCTCCCAGGGGTCCTGCCAAGGCACCACATAAGCAGGCCTCAGCAAACTCTCTTCTGGCAGGTTGACCCAGCGGGAGTAGTTGGTGGGCGCTTGGCAGGGGGTGCACAGCCCATAATAGAAGGGCCTGACCTCGCCGACCTGGTAGAGCTGAAGTAGCTCTGTCTTGCTCATGGGCATGCGGCGGGCTCGGCGGATCTCGAAAGCAGGCACTACAAGGGCCGTGCCCCCCCACTGGTTGCTCTGATCTAACATTTCTCGAAGGCCTCTCCAGAGGCCCTCGCTGGGCACCATGTCCACATCGATCACCAGGGCATAGTTGGCCCCTTCACGAGCTAGATTCCTAAGCAGGTTATTGGGGTAGGAGACGTTAGTACCCAGCGCATAATTGATCCCTGGCTGGGCCACCCTGGCTAGCTTATCGAAGACCTCCTGGCAGGACCGCAGCAGGGCAAATTCCCCAGGCTCTCGGGGATCGGGCACAGCGGCCTCATAACGCGAGGGGCACACGAGGTGCATGGCAACTCTGGCGCGCATATCGGGGCAGTGGCTGCTCAGCGCGTAGGCCAGCACCGTGGCCAGCTGCGCCTCCTCCTTGGTGGCCGCGAACACCGACACTGACAGCGGGCCCTCCCAACGCTCTAGCAGGCCGGACAGATGCAGCAGGTTGTCCACACTGGCATGCGTGGCCAGGATCACATCGTTGGGGTCCATGGTAGTCTTCAGTAGGCCCCTGTAGACGCGATAATCACCGCTGGCATCCAGGACCCCTCCGGAGGCCAGCGCGGTGCGGAGCTGCGCCTTGACCTGGTCCACGGAACGCGGGGACGGCGGGAAGAACTCGAAATATTGGTCCTGCTCCTCCTGTCCGTGCAGACCGGAGAGCAGCGACAGGTACAGCAGCTGCAGCATCGCCACCAGCATGAGCGCGGCCAGCAGCAGCTGGTAGAAGGCGCACCGGATGGCGTAGGACATCTGCATGGCTCTCGGGGCTTGGGGCTCGAGGCGCACAGCAGGGACCACCCGGCCGCAGCTTCTGCCTGCCCTTGCAAGCCCGGATTTACCGCAGCCAACCGAGCGCACCCGAGGCGAGCCGAGGCGAGTCGAGTCCTGAGCGCAGCCCCGCCCACGGTCCGCCCCGCCGGCCTCTGGCGCACCAGCTCGCCCTCTGGAGGAGAGGAGGAGGTACTGCATCCGCTGCCACGGCGCGCTTTGCAAACGCGGGACCTGTCCGCGGTCCCGCCTTGCCCGCCGACCCCGGGACGCCCACCTCTCCCTCCGGGTCAGGATGCAACCTCCCCTGCAACCAAGCACGTCCCGAAACCCCGATGCGCTCGCCCCGACTCAGGGAGGGGAAACCGTGGCAAAGTTCGACTGAAGATTTAGCGGAGGATGGCGCGATTTCTGGCTGAAGCGAGCAGAAAGGAGATAAAAAACCCTCCTTTTTTTTTTTTTTTTTTCCTACGTTTCGTTCTTCCCTGAGTCCTTCCAGATGGATATTTAGAAGTGGATGGCGGAGGCCGGGACGTGAGGCGAAGATGAAAGATAAGAAATGTGGACAAAAGTATTACGTGTGGGACGAGGTGGCCGAGTGGTTAAGGCGATGGACTGCTAATCCATTGTGCTTTGCACGCGTGGGTTCGAATCCCATCCTCGTCGGTGCTGTTTTATGGGGGAGAAGACCTCTTCATTTTCCACATCTTCGGCTTCTGGCCGGAGTAACAAGGTGAAGAAAACTGAATTTCGGAGTGCGAATGGAATTCGGTCCAAGTTTGTGCCCTGTCTCTTCATCATGTGTTTGGGTATTCAAACTCCAGGTGTCAGAACGTCCAGGGCAGGGACGGGGGCGGGGAGGAGGGCGAGGGCGGGGACGGAGACGGGGGCGGGGGGGCTGGACGTGTATTTTTCTTGCTCTCTAGGACAGCTCAGAGCGGGAGCACTTAAGATTGGCACTGAGGTTCTGGCCAGTCCCCCTGGGGTGATGGTGTTTGATCATTTACATAGTTCTCTATTTGGCATTCTGATTTGCTTCCTCTGTGGCTGTTTTCAAAGGGTGGAGACCTTCCATCCACACACCTGCTCCCCAACACACACATAAGCAGAAGGCCTGGAACATCCCAACTCCATCCACTGCACACTGAAGGTACTTAATAAGTGTTTGAGGATTAACTGAACCATGGCCTTTAGGAGAGACCATGGGGGAGGGGGAGGAGCAGGCACCTGCATCCCTTAATCAATTATATGTAATAAATATGGCCAGGCCAAATCAGGGGCCACCTATAGGGCTGAGTGCTGTGAGTCTTGGGAAGGGGCATTTGGACAGACAGGGAGGGCTTCTAGTGTCAGGATCCTGTGTTTGTGCCTCTGTTCCACAAGCAGAAGGGGGCCAAAGATGAAGTGTAACCAGGAGACCTGTATTTCATAGCCCAGTGCAGTAAACCCAGGGACAGCTGCTTCTACCAGGGGCTGTGTTAGACACAGCGCATTGGGCCCTGCAGACACAGGTGTTACCTTGTAGGTTTTCACTGGGAACAAGTGCCAGGGGCAAGGAGAAAGGTCAGTGCAGGTTCCTTCAGCACAGTCCTTGTAAACTGGAGGCTCAGAAGGCAGACATGGCTCATACCTATAATCCCAGTTACTTCAGAGGCACAGATAGGAGCACTGCAGTTTGAGGCCAATCCAAGGAAAGTTAGCAAGACCCTATCTCAAAAAAAAAAAAAAAGCTGCATGGTGGTGCACCCCTGTAATCCAAGATACTCGGAAAGTGGAGGTAGGAGGATCACAATCTTAGGCCAGCCTGTGCGAAAGCATGAGACCCTATCTGAAAAATAAAGCAAAATGGGCCATGGGATATGGCTCGAGTGGTAGAATGCTTGCAACGTGTCCCTGAGTTCAAACCTTAATACCATCAATTAAAAAAAAAAAAAGAAAGAAAGAAGACTGACTTGCTGCTGTGTTGTTTTATTTGACCTGATCAATATTTAAAAATAACAATTTGAATCACATTGGAAGATTTTGTGTAAAAATTCACATTTTTAACTTGTTTTATTTCATTATTATTATTATTGTTTCTTTGAGATAGGAACTTGCTATGTGGGCCAGACAGGCCTTGAACTTGAGATCCTCCATTCTTCAGATTCCTCAGTGCTGGGATTACAGATATGCACCATTTCTGTTTTAAATTCTGGAAGATCTGACACTAATAGACCTGCATTCCTGCAGGTTGACAATTGGCCAGAGTACCAGAGTGACTTCCCCTTTTGCCAGTCTGTTTGCCAAAGTCTCAACCCTGCCTCTTCCCTGTTCATCACTGGCCTTTTGACCATTTGGGCTTCATAGTGATGTTTCTACAATACCCAGTTACTACTAAGATTCACCTGGTCACCTGCCCACAGCCCTCCTCCCTGCAATGCCAGCTGCATAGAAGGCATCAGTGTGTGTTTGTTGAATGAATGAGAGGATTATGAAGTGTCCCA